GGGGGCGGAGGTGTCTGTCATGTGGCGGTCTTGTTACGGAGCTCCATGGCTTGGTTTTTTGGTGGTTTGTTAGGTTTTTTTTTTTCAAGTACGATATTTATTTCGCTACTGTAGTAAGCAGATGGGCTGGTGGGTGTTTTAGGCACTTCATCGGTATGTTGATAAACGACAGTAAACGCTGTGAAATGCTGTGTCGAGGGAAAAATGACCACAGTCAGAGACAAAAAAAAAGTAATCTGGTGTGCTATTTGCTGTGCCTCTTTATTTTCTTTCCTTATTCCCCCCCCTTCCCTCCCGGTAGTCCAGAAGTACTGTGTTTTGGTTTAGAGAAGAGATACAGTCTTGAACAGATCTAGTGTAAGCTATATCGATACAAGCTGTAGCAAAGCAGTAGGTGTTGTATTCAGTTTCCAGAGTGAAAGTCTTGAAACTTAGGTCAAGACAGTAAGGAACCAAAATCAGCCTGTGAGTGCTTATCACTGAATTTTCATGTATTTAAAAAAATAAAAGTGCTATCTAACTTGGAAGAACTTCTACTGAGCTTCTCAACAATACATGGGTGCCTATTGGCCTTGTTTTGCAGGATTATTGCAACTATTTCACAGTGAAGTCTCTTTTTGACTTTCAGGAACAGTCTAGGCATAGATTTAGATCTGATTCCCTAGCAATGGGCTTGTCTGGCAGAGACTGTGCTTGCTTCTCTCTAAGCCCTTGTGTAGTCACGCTGACTTGAATCTACCAAGGAGACTTCCCATATATCCAGAGTTAGGTCTGCAAGGCTGGTGCCTGTGTGTCTTCTCACCAGTGCTTCCCGATGCAATGACCACTGATTTGGTGGCCTGTTGTTCTGCTGAGGCTCTGTACGTGAGCACTGTGGCCAGCGTGCTTCCCTGTCACCCGTCTGATTTCCTCCCTTTTCCTTTCACCTTGAGAGAGCTGCAACGATGGTTACAATGCTTCAAACTTTTGTACCCTACCAAGACCTCCTGTACGTGCTGTGAGCGGGATGGAATAAAGTAAAGTCACTCTTCGGGGTACTGGTCTGGGGCTGCAAAGAAGCCTCAGCATCAGGAGGGTGCACACTGTGACTTTCTGGCACCGTCCAGACAGTTACCAGTTTAGTAATGTGCTGTGTCTCTTGAAAAACTTGCCTGTGTTAAGTTCTGGAAGTGGTAAAGTTCACCTTGAATGCACGTCATCTGTTTTGTGTTCTGTTCTAGGACCCAAATAAAGACACGGAGTGGAATGACATCCTGCGCAAGAAAGGTATCCTTCCTCCAAAGGAAAACCTGGAGGAACAGGAGCGTGCAAAGGAAGAGGAGCAGCTTGCCATCCTTCAGAAGTCTCTTGGTGAGTGACTAGCCAACTCGGGCAGCGGCAGCAGGACAAGTCTTGGAATGGCTCCTGGGGGAAGCTTGTACAAAGAAACGGCCAGCAGTAATATTTATACGCCTGTAAAGCAATGTGTCCTTTTCCAAGTCTGTAAGGGATACCAAAGCTTCTTCTCGTGTAGGGTGATCATCTGTTAACAGTATCAAACAAATATGTTCCTGAACACGTGGATTCTTCCAGCACAGGAAAGCTTTGTTCTTGATGTCAGCTCCATATTTTTAGAGAGGTAAATGTTTGAAAACTGAAATAAGGACAGTGCGAAGGGAGCCTGCCATGTGAATGTGCAAGTAAAACTGTCTCAGGACGTTACCTGTTGCATGCTTCCTCCCTCCGTTGTTCAGGCATCCCTGCCATGTTGTGTGTGTGTTAGGTACATCTTTGCTGCAGCCACTGAACTTGAAAGCTAGTGCAGGTACTCGTGCGCTAGTCAAGGCAGCCTTCAGCTCAGGGTCCTTTACATCACTGTCTTTCCATCTATATGTCTAAAGTGCATAATACTTTCTAAAAATCCAGTAACAATAATACTTCAAAAAAGCCCTATTTCCCATAGTTAATCCGTCCTTAAAGTAAATAAATTCTGTTGGACTGATAAAAGCTGATGAGTTTTAATCCTGGAATGAGGTTTTTGCTGGTTTGATGTTTCTTCCATTCTAGTGAAAACTTACGAGGACATGACTCTGGAAGAGCTAGAAGAGAATGAAGATGAATTTAATGAGGAAGACGAGAAAGCTATTGAAATGTACAGGTCAGAGCAGCATGCAGAATTTGGCTTTAATGAAAATTGGAGGTTTTTTCTTTTTATATGCTGTTAGATATTGTTGAAGAGAGGAAGGATGTTGTTAGGCCTGATGATAGAAAAAGTGGGTTGTGTTTCTGGTCTCTTGTAGAGCTTCTAAGTGTCTTTAATAGGATAACTGGGTTTAAATTCAGTGTCCTTTATCTACAGCCTAGTTTTGCAGAGATAACGTGCACCTGCTGAGTGCGTGGCTGGGGATTCTGACAGCTTTGAAAATCACCTCCAAGGTTTCTCAATTTTTGCATGAATGAGATTAAGGTGCTGCAGATTGACATAATTACAGCATTGGTTTTCCATTATCTCTTTATCTCTATCATCTCTCGTGGTTTTTGCCATGTAGCTTGGTAATGTAATATCTGCAGAAGAAATGTCTGCTGAGGGCAGAAATGAGGAAAAAGAAAATTAATGAAACATAGTTGTACTTGCGTGTTGGTGGTTTTAACTTGTGATGCAAATATAAGAGAATCTATTGACTATGTCAACTTGCTTTTGTTGCTCTGGGGTTTGAAGAAGCTTGTAATATGCCTCTGAAGTCTAGGTTTCAACCAGCTCCTTTACGTGTTCTGTCAAAAATGCAACTATTCTCAAGATGTCTTTCCCATTCCTTGCTGTTCAGGCAGCAAAGGCTAGCGGAAATGAAAGCAGCTCAAATGAAGAATATATTTGGAGAAGTTTTGGAGATTTCGGGAAAAGATTACGTTCAAGAGGTTACGAAAGCTGGAAAAGGTATATGGGTAGTCCTGCATCTCTACAAACAAGGGTAAGAATTTGTTTTTAACCTTTAAACCTTTCACTGTCAATAGCTGAAAATACTCCAGACAAATGTATAGTTATCGTGGAAATTAAGGAACTGATTCTGGAGTTCTAAGAAATAAAAAGATGAATTAGTAATTTCATTACTGTTGACTCAAGACTGTTCTAAAACGATGTTACCATGAAGTGGCTTTTTATACGTCTATACAGCACAGTGTGGCTTGTACCATACAGCTACCATAGAGGTAGCTGCTGCCACTGAAATATCCAAGCTTTGGAAATTATTCTGGATAAAGTGCGAGGGGCTGTGCATTAGAAGGATCACTGTGTGTCTCTTGGCCTGGTTTCTAGAGGCGTAAAAATGGAGTGAACAAGGCTTTCAGTCCTGTCAGCATGATGGAAAAACTTGTCAAAAAGGTCTGATAAGTTGCTAGAATTTTCTGGAAAGGGTTAGAAATACTTGATTTTGTTCATTGGCTCTAGTTGCCTCACAGGTGATTGTTGTCATTTGCATACTTTCTTCCAGGAGCTGCTTTTCTCTCTATTTTGCCCTTGCTTATGCAATTTCTGAGTATCTTCATAAACCAGTTCCTCTGTATGATAGAGGAGAAGGTTGTATTGCTAATATCTTAAAACAGAAAACCCACCAAAACCTCCAGGATGCTGATTTTCCTTTGAATGCTGGAATACTGGATAACAAAAGTATTCAGAAGTTGCTTCTGGTACATTTGTCTTTCCATAAATGCTACTCGCTGAGCTGATATTTCTGACCTTTCTTCTGGAGCAGATTACTGTCTAATTTGTCTTTTATTTTTTCCTTATGTGTGTCTGTTGCTGTTCTTCGCAGAATTCCACTCTGTGCCTTAATAAATCAACATATGAGCGGCCTTGCAAGAAAGTTCAGAGATGTGAAATTCATCAAAGCTATCTCTACCACCTGCATTCCCAACTACCCCGATAAGAACCTGCCTACGATATTTGTCTACCTGGAGGGAGACATCAAAGCTCAGTTCATTGGGCCTTTGGTGTTCGGTGGCATGAACCTGACAAGGGACGGTGAGTGTCTGCATCTCCGGTCTTCCAAAGGAAAAGCAAAACTGCTTTGCTGAGCATGAGAAAAGTGAGGCTTAGGAGGAGAAGAGAGGTACTAAAAATCTTATCAGTGTATGGGTGTTTTGGTTTTGGGGTTTTGGGTTTTTTTCACCCTTATGGCTCAACAACATGCGATTAAGGCTATCTTGTAAAAGCAGTGAGTGGCTGAGCAGGCCAACATATAGGTATTTATCTTATGTGTGTACAAGTATTCACACCCTGTGTCAGGTGAAAGAAATTTTTCTGACTATATTAAAGGGTAAATAGTACCCACGCATGTTCTTTGGGGCTCTTGTACCTGAATGACTGACCTTGCCCCCAGTTACTTGATAATCTGTGCACTTGGTAACTGGTGCTTGCCTATTGTATTGTAGGGCTTCTTGTTTCATTTTCAAGCCGATGACATATATTTCTGTTGTACCTTCCCGACACACAGCCTCCATTCCTCATGAACCTTTGAAGACAGCCTGTCTGTTTGTCCAAATGGGGCTGCTAGCCTGAAATTGGGCTGCTTCCTTTTCCTCTTGCCACCTCCCAAAGATGGCAGCACGTTAAGCTCCTGCCTCAGTGGTTCAGGGGGCACAGGGCTCCATGGGGAGAGGCTGTTACCTTTCCTGGAAGTCATGGTTTTCCCTAGACCTATTTCTCCTTGCCCATCTCAGCAGCCTCGTCAGCATGACATGCTTCAGGAGATGAGGGCGGTGATACAGGTCTCGCAGAGCACTGTGGCTCTTCAGTAAAAGCTGCTGTTTGGAGGTGGCTGGTCAGGGATGGTATCCTACAGCAGTGCTTGAAGATAGAGCTCAGCAGTGAAAAAGGCTCTTCTTGGAAAGCAAATGCAACTCGGATGTAACCTAGTGGATTTTAGTTCAGTTAGAAGGATACTCATCAGCTTTCTGAGTAGGTATATTGGTCCAGATGCCTTCAAGCTTTTTCAAGGTTAGACTTTAAGGGCATCTTTATCTGAAGTGAACCACAGTTAAGCAGCATTTTGAGGTCTCTGCTGAATGATGTCACTGCCTGTACTGGGATAGGATGCAAAGAGGGTGTGGTTTGTTTTTTTTTTTTTTACTAAAACCCTGAAGTTTACAGGATATCTTGAGCATGTGCTGTAGAAAACACTCCCCTGCCTTGAACTGTCAGAAGGGGAAAAGCTCACCAATGAGGTCACTGATTTGAGAACAGCTAACTCTAACTGCAGTGGTTGCCTAATTATGCACTGAAGTGAGCAGTGGTAGCAGAACCTACAGTTAGCTTTCTCCCATTTTTAGCACATAAATAATTGATTTTGGGGGAGGGTCCAAAGGTGACTGAGCCAGCTTAATTCAGTCATCACAGAAAGCTGTGCACTGAAATTCTGCACTTTTTTTTATTTCTTCCTTCCTTCTCCCCTAAGCCCAGGTGACTTCCACTGGAGATTAAAGAAAGTGTGAGGTTGTATTCATTACTCCATAATGTCTGAAGGAAATTAGATTTAATGATAAGGTTGCCAGCAGGACTAGGAGAAAGGTGAGCCAGCAGTGTGCCCAGGTGGCCAAGAAGGCCAATGGCATCCTGGCCTGTATCAGAAATAGTGTGGCCAGCAGGAGTAGGGAAGTGATCGTGCCCCTGTACTCGGCACTGGTGAGGCCGCACCTCGAATACTGTGTTCCGTTTTGGGCCCCTCACTACAAGAAGGACATCGAGGTGCTGGAGCATGTCCAGAGAAGGGCAATGAGGCTGGTGAGGGGTCTGGAGGACAAGTCTTATGAGGAGCGGCTGAGGGAACTGGGGTTGTTTAGCCTGGAGAAGAGGAGGCTGAGGGGAGACCTCATCGCTCTCTACCACTACCTGAAAGGAGGTTGTAGCGAGGTGGGTGTCGGTCTCTCCTCCCAAGTAACAAGCGATAGGACGAGAGGAAATGACGGCAAGTTGCGGCAGGGGGGGATTTGATTATTGGTTAGGAAGAATGTCTTCACCGAAAGAGTGGCAAGCATTGGAACAGGCTGCCCAGGGAAGTGGTTGAGTCCCCATCCCTGGAGGTATTTGAAGGACGTGTAGATGTGGTGCTTAGGGACATGGTTTAGTGGTGGACTTGGCAGTGCTAGGTTGACGGTTGGACTTGATGTTAAAGGTCTTTTCCAACCTAAACGATTCTAAGATTCTAACTGAATGTGTTGTATTGACTTTCTACCACTTCTGGGAAGCAATCCAATTTGAATCTATATAGTAATAGGCCTACTACTGATGGTGGAGTCTCTCTTACTGTCTTGCTAAGGAACTAATAATCAGTGCATGGCGTAGTGGGAAAGGGGTGAATTGCGTTTACAGAATACATCCCTGAAAAATACCTATAATTTGGATGTGTAAATGGAATTGCTACAGTTTTTTTTGCCCCTCAGCAAATCTATTCCCTGCCTCTTCTGATTGTTATGAACTCGGTATATGATGGAAGCAGCTGTAATATGAGCAGTATTCCTTCACTGGTGATAGATGTGCAAACCTGTCTTCTGCCCTTAGGTGGTTAGAAGGAGGTGGGATTCACTTTCACCGGGAGAGTTGCCTCTAAAGCTGCTGCTCTGTATCAATCACCTCTTTTGCATTCCTGGTTGTAAAGGGAGCAGGGAGGCATTGGGGACGCCACCGGTGGGCTGTGGAGCAGTACCCTGACCTCTGCACTCTGGGCTGAAACCTGTGCCAGCACTAGTGACTGTGAAGGGAGGGCTCGGCTGGAGCGGGTGCAGGAGACAGAGCAGGGGCTGGGACCTGGGGGTGGAAGAGGAGAGGGGGGCGAATAGAGCAGGGCCCTGGTTTTGGTGGTGGTCATAAGAGAAGTCAGCTGGGGAAGCAAGGGTGGGAAGGGCGGTGGGGAATTGTGGTGATCTGAGGTCCTTTTTTACCTCTGAAGGTAAACGAGGAAGCGCAAGATGCTGTGTACTGAAATAAATAAAGTAGCATATGTCAGAAGGAGTTGGAGCTGGAGAAAGCCCAGTTTGCTCCCCCATGTTCATGGCTCTCATTTTCCTCTGCACAGAATTGGAGTGGAAGATTTCTGAGTCGGGCGCCATCAAGACAGACCTCGAGGAGAACCCCAGGAAGCAGATCCAGGACCAGCTCATGTCCTCAATCAGGGCGTGTGTCCCAGCCAGTGGGGAGAGTGACTCAGAGGATGACTAACTGCTGCATCGGCATCATGATTGATACAGTACACTTGCAGCCAGTGTTCCCACCTAGAGCACTGGAGATGCTCATCGCTGAGCCCCAGAAGGGTAGTATTTCCCACCTAGAGCACTGGAGATGCTCATCAAGATCTCGCTGAGCCCCAGAAGGGTAGTACTTCAAGACAGTCATTTGTCTAGAAACTTCTAGAAACTAAAAAAGTTTGTTTTTTTTAAAAAAAGACCTTACTTGCAGCTTCACTTAAGATCCTGAAAGATGTTTTATATTATGAAGCCTCAGCAAATCTTGCTCAAAATTTTAAAATATAGACATCGGTAGAAACGGAGGTCTCTTGTTATTATTTTCTTAGTAAATTGCTGACTTTAAAAAAAAAAATTATCTGAAATATGAAGTGGCCTTAAGTGCACTGGTTTTGACAAGCTTAACTTGTGTAAATCTAATCTAAATAGCTGGTCTTAAACAATTGGTTATAGCACTTGATGGGCTAAGAGAAGGCCCAACTATGTGTAGATATTCAACAGCCTGGACTGCGTGGAGAGCTAGGGGAGGTGACCCGTGGTGTGGGTGCTGCTGAAGGTGGCGCATGGTCCTTTGCAGAGGTGTGCTGGCAGAGGGGCCAGCATGAGGCTGTGAGCTGGGACCTCGGACATCTTGAGAGACCTTGGTGACGGCGAGCATCTCCTGGGACCTGCTGAGTCCAGAATCCCCTTTCATTAGCAGCAATATTTTGCCTTTCACAGGGGTTGAGCTTCCTGCACTATCTTGTCTGCTAATTGGGAAAGAAAATTCAAGAAAATTCAGAAATCTGATGTTTTACTACAGTACTGCCATTGCCAAATGGGAAAGAAAATGATGTTTGAAGACTTGACGTCTTTCTATATTAAAGCCTTCCATCTTCTAGGTACAGTAATAATAAGTGAGGCCTTAGAAGAGAATGAACTGAAATACCACCTTAATTATAGATCTGCTGACACTTAAGAGGTGCTTGCTTATTTTGGGTTGGATTTAATGTCCACCTACACTTCCAATTTGTGTATACTTGGGCTAACAAGCTCCAAGAGCTTTTGCTAACAAGGCTGCCCCAAGGACATTTTGTTATATTGCTGACGGATTCTGTGGGTGGATGGTACAGAATGCAACACTCAATAAGCAGCAATTTTTTTTTAGTTTTGTATTAGTTCATAGCGACTTTTAAACATGTTTCCTGCACTCTATCTCCCCAGTCAAATCTGTGTGTAGTTCAAACAACAAATAACTGTTCCTTAAACTTCAGGTGAAGTTGTAAGATCCTGATGGAGAGCTTCCTCTTTGACATCTGAATGGTGATTTGAGTGTCACTTAAGTCTCCTTTCTTTTCTCTTCTGTGTTTTTTGGCAAAATAGCTAAAACATTAACATTGTGCAAGTGAGCCAAATGCAGCTGAATACAAGGTGATAAATACTGAATATTATTATTGTACATAGCACCACACTTGTCTTGACACTGGACTATCCAAAATGCTATCAGACCTGATGCTTTGGAGTGATCTCTGAGCACATGGACTGGGTTCCTTTTGGAGGAAACTATCTAGAGGAAGATCCCCCAAAGGGAAAGTCAGTCCAAAGAGCTAGGCTAAAGCTAACCTGAAATAAGGCCCTCTGAAATGTGTGTAGAGTGGATGTCGCATCCTGAGCCTCTCCCTCTAGATCTGCTGCTGTTGAGCTGTCTGGATTGCTGATGCAGACACAGCTGCCATACTCTTCTCAACTTGTTTAAAGTTTATCAAACCTTCTAGGAAGGGGAGGTGGAATCTGCAACCCATCTTGTATCATTGCTGTGACAACCTCAATTTGAAATTTAATTTAAAAAGTAGGCAACTTTTTTTACTTCTATTATTCCCTCTTTTATTGTCTCCCACTTCAGCGCCTCTATGAAGGCAGAGTAGCAATAACATTGCAGCTGCCCTTTCACTGTCTTCTAGACCATTGATGATTCATGGACCACAGCAGGAGAGGAGCTCAAAGCAGGATGACCACTGCATTTGGATGGAGTTGCTGAGGACTCTATCCTGTGGGATCTTGGAAACATCTAGGGATGAAGACTCCTCAAATTGTCCCAGTGCTTGACTGGCTCCAGTGCAGCCCTCTGTTCCTTGCATCCTGCACAGGACAGCACGGGCAGCAAGACCTTGAGCCAGAATAACTACAGACAGAGGAGTCTGTTGTCCAGAGCTTGATCCAAAGCTTGTTCAATAAGGAGAACTGGTGTTTCAAAGGCAGACAGGCATCCCTAGGATACTAACCGTAGACTTGCTAGAGCTAATCAACAGAGAAAGCTGAAGGACAGACTGCATTGTGTGATCAGACCATACCAGCTTGCAAGGACCTTAGCCAGTGGCTCACAGCTTAGAGTATGTGGCTTGAACCCCCTTCTGGAAGGGGGATGCTTGAGCCTTCTACTCCAGAAACTCTGCAAGCCTTCCTCAAAAGCTTCCTGCTTGCTCCTGGCCGCACTGGCACAGTGATTCTTGTTCCCTAATCTGCAAAGTAAGCCATTTTAGATGGGATGGTGTCCCCTTACAAGAAGGGTTCATGCCTGGTGAATGAGGCACTGCCTTGGTGCAGGTTTGAGCCCCTCAGGCAGAAGTGAGAATTGAACTGAATTGCTGATGCCCTTGGCATGTGGTGTGATAAACCCTTGGATAAATAAAAAGGGGAGGTGGGACTTTGGGCTGTTTCCATTACAGTCTTCTCTTCCAGCAGGGTCTTAAAAGAAAACCACAGCTGCCTTCCCCTTTTGTACAGAGTCTAACGGGTTTTGTGAGCTCTGGGACCACCAAGAGGACTGAGCTCCTGAAGGGGACCAGGGCTGTGTACGGGCATGTGGTTGCCCCAGGCTGCTCAGCTGTGGTGAGCCAGATACTTCATGCCTGTGAATGACACTTTGATGGATGCACTTGACCCCTTAACCAAACTAGCGGTAGTTTGGTACACACTCCAAAGGAGGTAAAGGTCTGATCCATAGCCAGGCCAAGAACTCCTCTAGTTACAATCTGTTCTCTGAAAACCCACAAAGGAGCAGAGCGACACAGTGGGCATAGATGCATATGAGCTTGGAACACCGATCACGCAATTAACACATGAATAGCGGGTAGCTTTTCCAAGACTCATTTATCAAGGAAAGAAGGCGGCTGTGGGTACAAGAAGACTCATGCATACCTTTTCCATCACATGTAACTTGACTGTGAGCCAACCACTGTAACCCATAAATATGACAGCCTAGGTGAGCCTTCTTTGAGCTCTCCCTGCTAGGCAGTGTGGCTAAAATGGTGGTGATCTCCCCTTGAGCTGGGACACCTCTTAAGGTTGCTCCTTGAGGCAGAGAGACCTTTTACTAACGACAGATCTTTGGTAAGTGACCGATACCGCCCGTAACCTTGTAGTATGGTAACTTTGATTGCATGCTGAATTGTTGCTAATGAAACATTGCATATAAAATCCCTTAGACATAAACCATTGACCAAGTCTGAGACTAGGTTTGGACCTAGCTGCACCTAGACTCCTCTCTCAGAAGGAGTTTAGAAAGCAAGGGGGTCAGCTCTGAACCTTGTGACTCAACGGGAGGGTCTTCCTTACCCTTTGTGTCTCTGGTCTGTGTGTGAATCATTCTAACTCGAGTGTAACTCAATTTTCCTTCGTATGTTTCTTCCATGTAGTAATTAATAGTGAACCTTGCCATCGAACTCTGTTAAGTCGCGCTTTTACAACATCATATTAAAACCACTTTTGCTAATACCTTTGCTTAAAGAATCACTGTCAATCTAAATAACTCATTTTGCAACACGCTTATGGCACCCCTTTTATTTGTCTTCGTGAATCATCTCAATACTACAAATGGGTAGTAGTTACATCTGTCTTCTACAAGGAGTGAACCAGGCCTGCCCAGGAGATGGTAGGGGAGGGGGAGATTGCCTCTTCTTCTGGCCTGCTCCCTGCTGCTGTCTGTCAGGACTACAGCAGGGGCTGCCTTGCCATTTAAGCAATTTGTCATTGAGCAGCGTGTAACAATTCAGGAGAAATGGAGACAAAGTTTGACTTGTATTGTCTTTTTGTCCTGAACTGCTCAATGTGTTGACACGTTGGGGGATGCCATTCAAGTATGCCATGCTGAAGGGGGCAGATGTGAGAATAATCACAAACCAGAAGAGGCTGAATGTTCTGCCCAGCTGCTGAGACCCACGCGGAGCATCATTTCAAATGGTCTCTGTGCTTCTCTGTATTTGGCTAAGTGTGAAAACAGCTTCTTGTAATCTTACTCTCTTTCTTGCCAATCATATTGCCCTGCTCCAGGCCTTTTGTAGAAATTAGGTCTCTGCAGGAAATGGATAATGAGATCTGTTTAACCTTTTGGCAGAGCAGAAGCTATGGAAGCACACAGTAAGGGGAATGAGCTTTAGCTTAAAAGGAAGCTGGCTGCTGAATAGCAAACCAAAACAGCCAATTAATATACACAGTAGAATGAGGCAAAATAATGGGAGAAAATAATTGAAGAGCCTGAACGCTCATTTGCAAAGATTTGGGGCACTGTTGCTAAATGCACTATCAACATTTTTGCAGCCTGTCAGTAGTTAGTGTCAGATCAGTGCTCACTTCTCACTGGTGCGAGAAGGGTCTTTCTGTCACCTATCATGGGAGAAGTCAGAGGCAGCGATCCTGTAAACAGTGCTGAGGCTTGTACGAGTTACTGTTCTGCGTACCGCTGTGAAAGCATCCCTGACTCATCCCATACTGCAGCAGTGCCAGCAGGTGGGGGGCAAAAAAACAATCCTGGGCTATAGACAGGGGCAGATGATTTGCCATTAGTGGACAGTCACTCTGGAGTTTTTTGTGTGAAATGAAAGTGAATCAGTAGTAATAAAAAGTGTTTTCTTCACAACACAGGTCTGAAGTCCGCTGCTTACCCAGGTTATGTGAGCAGCCACGTTAGGTTCATAGCAGGCTGCCCTGATCCAAATAAGTCACCGCTCTGATTTTCCTTTACCCAGACCTGCTTGCACTCACAATCTGCACTCACCAAACCCTGCCAAACCTGGAG